AAGTGTTAATAATTACATTTGTGTTAAAGTTTTCAGCCTCCACTGATGAAAGTGACAAAAAATATAAAGGCTGAGTTTAACTTTTCCATACTTTTTGGTTCATCATTTGATACTTCAAACAGTGCAATTTTTTTTTAATTAATATATTATTTTTAGTTGCTGAAGCTACTACAGTGTCTGATAAATATTCATAAGGTTCATAAAATTTAAATATTCATAAGGTTCATAAAATTTAAATATTCATAAGGTTCATAAAATTTAAATATTCATAAGGTTCATAAAATTTAAATATTCATAAGGTTCATAAAATTTAAATATTCATAAGGTTCATAAAATCTTTTTTTGATCATGTTTCTTTAGATTCTATTGTTACATGAATTAATTGATTTGCTTTTTTAAGTGAGTATTTTCCAAAAAAAAAGTCTTATGTATAGATCTTTTACTATCTTTAGAAGATCCTTCTTTTTTGGATAATTAAGTTTTCTGTAATTTATCCAAACAATTCGGATTGTCTAAATATCTAAGAAGTCCACTAATACCTGAGTTTCTTCTTTCATTTATTCTTTCTAAAACAGCAGTATAAAAATCTTTACCAACAGCACTTTTGTTTTCCTTTAGTTTTGAAAGAGTAAATTCTAAAATCTTTTCACTTGTCAAGATGTCAACATCTCTTTTAGAAAAAGAAGTAGTTCCAACCTCAATTATTTCTAAACAATCAATTATTTTACATTTTTGATCAAAGAGTTCTTGTCTTTGTGACAAGAAACGTTGATTGTTTCTCAAGCTTTTTCAATGTTGTTGAAGAATATCATTTTTGGTTATAAATCTTCTTAATTACTTGGCAATTTTTCTAAATATTATAGTTTCACAAAGATTATCTGCCAATTCAATCACATCATTGTTGTCCAACATTTCTGCTATTCCCCATTATGTTCATCATCAAAATCTTTATCAATCTCATCGATTTCGTCATTTCAATAATCAGTTTCGAATTTTTCGTAATGCTTCTTTTTGTAAAAGACATAAACAACAACAAGATGAACACCATAAGAGTGACAAATTTGATAAAAAAGTGTAAAAGTTTTCTTAATTTCTTTACTAAAATATTCTTGGCTTCGTGAATGTCAATAAGTCAAGAGTATTTTAATAATCATTTCAAATGCTTTTTCTGCTGGCATAGAATCATTAATTCTTAACACGTCCAGAGACTGAACTTGTCCTGTCAAAAAATGCAAATTTAATCACATACACCAATGATTTTTGATGGATGTAAAATGAAAAAACAATATTCATACTTTTCATTTCATGTCTGTTACTTGAAATTTGTAAGCTTTGTGCTGTCCAACTATTTTATTATCAATACTTTTCTCTAACTTAAAAATTAGGTTAAGATCTACTGCAACAAGTCTGGCAAAAACAACCTCTGGTGATTCAATCTTGTTTCTTAGGCAAGTAATTGAAATCTGACCTTCTTTTTTTTAACTTTCTTTGTTTTAAGATTTTCACTTTTTTTAAGATGATAAATCGTTGAGCTTTTGGCTGCTGCATGAAATGTTGAAGAACAATATTAGCAATTGACAATTGAACTTTTTGAATAAAACAAAAATTGTTTCTAAACAAACGTTTTTTAGTTAGTACAATACACTAATTTTCAAAAACTTGTAATGTAAATTTATTTCCTCTAAGCAAAATTTAAAAAAAAATTATTTTTTGTTTACTTGTATAATGATATAATTATAAGTTGTATATATAATAATGGTATATATATATATATATATATATATATATATATATATATATATATATATATATATATATATATATATATATATATATATATATATATATATATATATATATATATATATATATATATATATAATATATATATATATATATATATATATATATATAATCTAAACTATTATTTATTCTGCTTTATTTTTTTTTTCTATCTGCTAATATTAATTTTTTTATTAGGAAATAATCAGGTTTTACGAGAGATAATTGCTACATTTCCTGAAGATGCTGTTACGTTAGGAGTTATTCCAGAAAAGTTATTGCTAGAACGGTTTAAACGAGTCAAGTCAGCATGTAAAAAAGTCGGAATGGTTAATGAAGGAGGTTCACTTATAAAGTATGCTCTTTCTTATTTTAAATCTTTTTTTGTCATCTCCCAGTGGTATCAAATGAATGTGGAAGAGCCGATTAATGTTGAGAAATTAGACACTTATGAAATCTTAGCAAAAGCTGAATACTTTGCCAGTCAAGGCGATTTACTTCAAACAGCTAAATTCATAAGCCAATTGAATGGGGTCTCTCGTAAACTGAGTCATGATTGGTTAAAGGAAACCATTTTACTACTAGAAACAAGACAAACTGTTAGTTTGTTAAGTGCTTATGTTGCATCATTGTGTGCAGAAATGGAATAGAAATATTTTGAATTATACGCAGATACGTTTAATCTTACATCAGTCTAATATTACCTAGAATTATTAGTGACATTATATGGATATGTGTTAACCTATATACATAACTATATATATAACATTTTATCTCTGTCATTTGTATTAGTATTGTTGTTTTAGTAATGCTTTTTAATATTTATTTGCTGATTCATTTATGTTTTTACCCAAAAGCTTTTTTTTTAATTGACTTTAATTTAATTGACAATTTTTCTACAAACAATATGTACTTTATAAGTAATTTTAAAAACTCATTTTGATAATAGAACATAATCTTATTGTTTTTATCATTTTAATATTATTTTTTTCATGTTATGATATTTGATCACATGTAAACTCATTTTTTCTATTTAATATCTTTATTTTGTAGGTCGTGCATGGTTTGCCAGATAAAAAAACTTTTTAACTTAAAAATTGGTTGAAAAAGATGCTAAAACTTATTCTTCAAGCAAATGGCTGTGAATGTAGAATTTTGAACTTTTTCACGATAAGATGCCATGGTCGAATAGCATATTATAGTAGTTCACAGATAGATAAAGAAGAAACAAGACAGTCAGGTTAGAGATTATGAATTAAGCTATAATATGATATAAATTTATTTTGAAAAGGAAAGTGAAATCATAATAAAAATATATAGCCTAATAGTTTTATGACGTTATTTAATTATTTTTTCTTTATTTTTTTGGCCATGTAGTTATGTGAGTATGTTTGTGTGTGTGCGTGCAATTATAATAATAATAATAATTGTAAATTATGCAAGGCATTGTATGACCTAATTTATTTTATGCACAAATTGTATAGTTTCTTCAAGCGAAATGGATCAATTTCGAAAATTATCGTCTCAGTGGTGGAAGCCAGGCGGAAAGTTTGAAGCTTTACGTTCAATGAACAAACTTCGTATTCCTCTGATCAAGAAGCTCTTGTCCAGTGGAACTGAACTTTTAAAGGAATATCCTTTAAAAGGATATAAAGTTTTAGATGTTGGGTGTGGTGGAGGAATTCTTTCAGAGGTAAAATTTTGATAAAATAAAGGATGGGAAATAAGGAAAAGCAAATCAAAGCAAATGGAGTTGTTTTATTAATGGAATTATTTTAGCCAATTGCACGGCTCGGTGCGGAGGTTGTTGGTATCGACCCGCTACAAGAAAATATTGAGGCAGCCAAGTCCCATTTATCATTTCAACCTGAGTTAATTAACTTAAAGTACCAATGTACGCTTTTAGAAGAGTTATGTGCAAAAGAACTTTTTGATTTAGTAGTTGTATCTGAAGTACTGGAACATGTTAATGAGCCGCGCACTTTTGTTGCTTACTGCTGTAGTCACGTTAAAGTAGGGTTTACACTTAACTGTTCTTATTTTAAAATTTCACATACATGACACAATTCAAATTTTACACGGTAATCTCTTACATAAACGACACGACTTGCTTTTATTTTTACATTTTAAATGATAAACTTTTTAATACACGGTTTTAATTTTCTATGCATTTCATTTATCATTTTAATTTAGCCTGGAGGATACATCTTGTTCACCACTATAAATAGAACATTTATTGCCTCATTACTTGCAAAGTATGTTGCAGAATATATTTTTAGAATTGTACCTATAAATACACATGATGAAAATAAGTTTGTTCCGCCTTACGAGTTGACTGGTTACCTACAAAACAGTAAGGAAACTTTCTTCGTTAGGGCTTTAGGAAAAATCCCGTTTTTTTTTTTTCAGCAATCTTGAGAAATTAGTTATAATAAATATCTTTTTTGTTTTAATATCTTTTAGATCTTTTGCTATAATTATTTTAAATTTATTTGTGTTTTAAAACTTGCATTTTCAGGTGGTATGTACAAACCAACATATTTAGGAATGTCTTTAAATCCACTTACGATGCAATGGAGTTGGATTCCTTCAACGCTTGTAAATTATGCATGTCATGCGCAGAAGCCATTATCATAATTTTTAACGTTGTTTTTTAATTTTTAATTTTTTTTTGGATAACTCAAGATTTTTTTATTAACAATTTTTTATTAATATTTTAACTATTTAATAAAAAAGTAATAATGAAAATTAATCATATTAAAAAAAGGTTTTTTTGTTTTTTAATTCCCAGTGGTAACGGTTCATAATTTTTTTGAGACAATATTTTCAACTTTTTAAATTATTGCAACTTATTTATTTTTGTTTCTTTATAAGGATCAATTTCTAATATCGAGTTTTATGTGGTGCTCGGTTTAAGCTTTGGTACTTTTAAATATAGCAAGCTTTTTTAAAACAATCTATTATTTTACAGTTATGCATAATATTTAGACCTAAATAAAATTTGGCTTTTCCATTTTTACCAGTAACATTTAATTATGGCATCCGAAGAAGATATCATGCGAAATTTGATGGGGTTTAGTGGATTTGGTAGAAATATGTTTTGTGTTGTATTTAGCATTATGTTTATTTTCTTTTGGTGAAAACAATTTTTGTTATATATTTGATTTTCTTTGTTTCTAGGTGCAAAAAAACCACCAAAAGAAGAAATTTTAAACCAAAAGTTGAATGAAGCAAAACGACTTGTTAAATCAGATTGCCCATCTTTTGATAATGATGAAGATGTTGCGATTGGGCCCTCTCCAACTTTAGCAATTGTCAATGATTTAAAAAATGAAGTAGAAAAAAACGTTAAAGAAACAGTAAAAGATGATGATTCTGACAGCGATGATTCGGAAGAAGATGACTTTGAGTTGACTCCAGTACAAAAAATACCAATGTCTCATGAAATCACTCTGTTGCACGGTCAAAAAGTAGTTTCAGCAATGGCTCTTGACCCATCAGGCTCTCGACTTGCTACTGGCAGCTATGATTATGAAGTAAAGTTTTGGGATTTTAATAGCATGGATGTTAGTTTACGACCTTTTCGAACACTAACGCCGGCAGATGGTCATTGGGTAAATGCGTTACAATATAGCGCAACAGGTGATAGGATATTGGTTTCGACCGGAAACGCACAACCTCAAGTTTTAGATCGTGATGGACATCAAGTATACGAATGCAAAAAAGGAGATCAGTATATTGTCGATATGAAAAATACTAAAGGTCATGTGTCTATGGTTCGTAACTCTTGCTGGGATCCAAGAGACAAAAACCATTTTATTTCATGCGGGGACGACGGAACTATTCGTTTATGGGATATTAACACGGTAAAAAAGAACACAGATGTGATCAGAATGAAAAATAAACAGAGTAAAAAAACTGGTGTGACTTTTTGTTTGTTTAATCGAGATGGAAAACTAATTGTTGGATCAGGTCAAGATGGTTCGATTCAAGGATGGGATACTAGACGACTGTTTGTTAATACATCTTTAAGTAATATGCAAGCTCATACTAACGGAAGTGAAACTTCTTGCTTATGTCTATCTTCTGACGAAAAGTCCCTTATATCGCGCGGAGGTGACGATACTTTAAAATATTGGGATTTAAGAAACTTTCAAAAACCAGTCGCTGTAGCAAAAGATTTAGTCAGCTATTATACGACCACAAAATGTCTCTTTAGTCCTGATGAGAAATTAATTGTAACCGGAACTTCTGCAAAAAAAGGGGGAGGAAATGGGAAATTAGTGTTTTTAGAACGAGATACACTTAATATTGCCCATGAATTAGATTTCGGGAACGCATCTGTAGTTTGTACATTGTGGCATGTAAAATTGAATCAAATATTAGTGGGTTTATCTGACGGTAACGTTAAAGTTCTATTTGATCCTACTAGAAGTATCAAAGGAGCAACGCTTTGTGTTGGCAAAGTAAAAAACAAGCGTATTGATCCAGGTGAGGGCTTGGTGAAACCTCAAATCATTAATCCTATTACCCTAAAACTATATCGTGAGAAAAAAGCAGAAACTATGAAAAAAATAAAAGCAAAACAACGTGCGGATCCGATTGCGTCTCACAAGCCAGAAGCACCATTAGGCCTGTCACATGGTGTTGGCGGTCGTATGAAAGAAGGAATGAGTTTAACCGGGTTTGTTATTAAAAACATAGCTCTTGCAAAAGCTGATACTGCTAACCCAAGGGAAGCAATCTTAAAGCATGCAAAAGCTGCTGCTGAAGACCCTTTCTGGATTGCGCCAGCCTATTCTAAAACACAGCCTAACCCTATTTTTACAACAAAAAGTGATTCGGATAGTGAAGAAGATGATAACGAGCTTGTGACAGTAAAAAGACAGAAAGTTGATTAGTTTTGTCAATACGTCTATTTAATATATGATTTTAATTTCATTACTTTATAAGCAAATAAAATGTTTTGTGGCTAAATTCTTTTTGAGAAATGAACAATTTAACTTTTTCAATGCATTGTCATATCAAATTTTCTGCAATCAATTTTCTATTGATAGATTTTTGATCATTTTCCTTGTAAAACTGTTTTGAGAACGATAAGAAACACGAAAGTAGTGATTCAACTCATTAATATCGACTGAAAATGGAGTCTCAAAAAGATATCTTTCAAATTCGTATGAACCACTGAACCATTTATGGTTTATAACGTCATCAATTGTTGCTCTTTTTTCATTGTCGACGTTTAACATCCAGTGAAGAAGATGAAGTAAATCTACAAAATGAAACAGCATTTCAATTTAAGCCGTCAGTATAGTGCGTACGCAAGTTAGAATTTCTACCCTCCTTTTTTTATATATATTTTTTGAGACCCTTATCCCCACTATCACTTATCACCCGCCTGCATATTTACCCCTTTTTTTTACAGTTTATATTAAAAAAAATCTGGATGGACCTGAGAACGATAAAAATAGTAATTCGACTAATCGAGTATTCGAAATTCGACGAAAAAATTGCGCGCAATTTAATTTTATACCAACTATTGTCAATACTGCTATAAGCGCCACGGAGTGTCTAACAACTTTTAGCGTCGTACTTTCTGATATCAATATCTAACAGGTGCTGTTTAAGATGATAAGTCAAAACTCGTGCAGTCAGAATGTACTCATTTTCAGTTTTTTTGTAGTTTTATTATTCTATGCTTAAGGTAAAAAAAAACTTTTGTCTATTTTTTTCCTTTCTATCAGATATTTTATTCATTTGTGTAAAGATAAAAAATAGTAAGCTTTTGATTTTTTAAGAATGTTTATAGTTTTTTTATTCATGTTGTATGTTTTATTTCTATTACATTAAAAAATTATTCATTCTAAAAAGACAATATAAACAAAAGTATAATGAAATGAATAAACTTACAATTGGCAAAAAGAAAGCTAAGTTAGAATTTTTGAAAAACGTTTTAACATTTAAAAAAAAACGTCAACTGATAACTTAGTCAAGCCTTATTGTAGTTGATTGATCATGTTTGCATCATTTAATCTGCTGTGACATTTTGTTTTTACTTTGGTTAATATATACAAAAATATTTTTTAAGATTAGTTTTTAAAGACGAGTTTTTTAAGAATAGCTTTTAACGAATTTATATTATTCAGGAGGGGTGTTAAGGACCACGATATGCTATAGAGAATTGGGATAATTTTTTTTTCAAGAGTTCTGTATAGTTTCCATTTATATTAGTTTTAAAAAAGTTATAAATCGATTTGGAACAGTTCCAATTTTATGTTTGAACATAAACTATATTTTGATATATATTGATTTGGTAAATGTTTAAAGCATTCATCTGTTTTAGTTAGGGGTGCACCGATGCCGATGGGTACAGGCATCGATGCATCGGCATCGGCCCTGATATTGGATATATGATTGAAATATACAATTGAATGGAAATGCCACCTTCCATTCATGTGACAATGAAAGCAATATTTTAAAATTGTTACTGTTAAAGTTTATTTTTTTTATTGTTCTCTAGATAATTAAAGCAATTACTTCAATTGAAAAGCTCGTTTTATAAATATATATTTATGTCATTCTGTTAAATTAAGCGATTTCATTTTTTACAAAGAATAAATAGAAGATTTTGGTGTCGTTACTTCTTATAATTGGCACGTTTTTAGAAAATGTTTTTACACAATTAAGTTATAAAACATAATACTTATATTAAATAATACTATTATAATCCAATATTTTACCTATATCTTGATTTTACAGTACATTTTGAATGATTTTTGTAAAGATATTTTTCTGTGTAAAATGTAAATGTTTTGTATTTAAAAAAGTTTTGAATTTAATAAGTTTTATTTAATAAGAATTTAATAAATTTTAAAAGTTTTCAAAACAATCGGCATCGGCCGATGCATCGGTGCACCCCTAGTTTTAGTAATGGGTCAGCATGAGTAAGCTTGTCTTTATAAAATATAATTCTTGAAGCAAGTTTCTGCCGTCTATAAATAGAGCTTAATTTAGTTTTATAAAAAGTATCCATTAGATTTCTAATAAAATTCAATTTAATTCCGTTCTGACATTCTATCGATGCTTGATTATCATGGCCGTAGACAAGTCAGGGCAATTTTTATTTCACTCCTAATTAAATATATTTCGTAATTAAACTAATAAGAAAAAAAATTTACATAAAATAATAATAAAAATAAAAACTCCGCAAATCTCAAAAGTTTGAGAACGCAGTTTACATACAACTAAAGAAAAATAACTTTTAAAAAAATTAGCGTCTAAAAAAATTGAAACGAGCGTCAGAAAATATTTTAATATACTATAATCAGAATGTTTTTAGAAAAAAAGACTAAAAAAACAAAAAAAACAGGTTTTTGCTAAAAATGCGAATTAATGATCTTACTATTTGGTTTGTATTCAGTATAATTATTTTACAGAAACTTGGTTTAAAGCAGAATCGGATGTAAACATAATTAGTTATAATATTTTCAGAAGTGATAGATAGATCTCATAGAGGAGGTGTTGGTATTTATATAAAACAATGTATTAAGTTTGAAACATAATTTACGGTTAAACAATTTTATTAAACAAATATGGACTTGTATATTTTTTAAAAATAAAAAAATGCTAATAGAATGCATTTATAGACCACCAGATATATCTCATGAGTACAATAAATTTGTTTAGCTATCTATTAATGCTAAAACGAGTATTTATCAGAAAGAATACAGCAATTTTATTATTACAGGTGACTTCTACAATAATACAATAGATTGGTCTGATAATAATTGTCTTTTTTTAGCAACTGATGATTAAACTCAAACTAATAAATTTATTGAATGTCTTGAAGATTGTTTTCTGTTTCAGAGTATGTGAGCTAACATTCCAAATAGCAAACTACAAATCAACTAATATTCTAGACCTTATTTTTACAAACGAAAAAAACAAAATTGTTTCTATAACTCACTCAGCTCCGTTAGGGAATGTCAAACAGGGTCATCATTTACTAAAGTGTATCTAATGAATGATCTTAAGTCTTCTAAAGAACATAAGAAATCCATTAGATTATATCAAAAAGGAAGTTAAGAATTATTTTCAAGTCATTTCAATAATATGGATTGGGAAAATGGATTTAAAAGTAAATTTATAAATTAAATTTATGATTTATTTTTGTATCATTACAATTATGCAACTAATCTGTTTATCCCAAGAATTAATTATCAAAATAGAAGGAACATAATAAAATGGATTACTCCTGAATTGAAACATAAAATATGAACAAAAAAAAATGAATGAATCGCTATCTTGAAAAAGAGGACATGTCCTGCGAAAATTCATGTCCTCTTTTTCAAGTTAGCGGTTCATATGGCTTGCTAATAAACGTAATGGTTGGAATGACGAATCGACAAAAACTCAGTTTAATAAGTTGAAAATTAGAATAAAAAATGATATAATAAACAATATAAAACAATTAAAAAGTACTATGGCTAGCAAGTTTAAATAAAATCTTAAATTGTTTTATAAATATATCAGTGAGAAGAAATTAGTGAAAACTCAAATTCGAACTCTGGAAATTGAAAATGGGGAAACCATAAATGATTAATTTGATATAGCTACTAAACTAAATAAATATTTTCATTCTGTGTATGTTAATAATAATGGTGCAAGTATTATTGAATTTCATAATATGCCTTTAAATTAGTTATTAAACACAGTTTTAATAACACAAAATGATGTTCAAACGAGACTTAAAGCACTTGATAAGTCGAAATCGGTCGGTTTTGATTTTGTTCATAAGTTTTATTTTATTTTTTTTAAACATAAGTTTTAAAAGAATACAGCTCGTCAATATCATACTCATTATATTTAGTGTTCAAAAAATTGATTTAATAGGTACCCTACCAGATATGTGGAAGAAGACAAATGTCATGCCACTTTTTAAAAAAGGAAGCAAATTAAAAGCATCTAACTTTAGTTACATGGTCTGTATACAGACTAGTAGCGTCAATTGCATTTTTTGGCCTTCGAGATAGCTAACTTCCAGACATGGAGCAAACTCCAAACATTTATTTGTTTATACTTATGTCAAATAAGGATGCTTTGCAAAAAATTGGAATGATTGGAGCTTGGGAACAAAAAAGCCCTAAAATTTTGGCCCCCTGCCCCAAACGTGAGAGCAACAAGTTGATGATATATTTTTTGTACTTTTTTCAACTAGACTTATATTCATCGATAAGTTATAAGTTTCATAGTAAAATATTTTAGCCAAAATTTATGACCATATAAAGTTTAAACCCCCCTTAATTTGAGGGGATTTCAGATTTTATATGGTCATTCTTTTTGAACGGCGAAAGATAATAATATGAAACTTAAAATTTATCGATGAATATAAGTCTAGTTGAAAATAGTACAAAAAATATTTCATCAAATTGTTGCTCTCACGTTTGGGGCAGGAGGCCAAAATTTTGGGGCTTTTTTGTTCCCAAGCTCCAATCATCGCAATTTTTTGCAAAGCATCCTTATTTGACCTAAGTATAAACAAATAAATGTTTGGAGTTTGTTCCATGTCTGGAAGTTAGCTATCTCAAAGACCAAATAATGCAATTGGCGTCACTGCCACAGACTAGTCTCGTTAACTTCAATACCATGTAAAGTGTTGGAAAGAATAATAGCTGATTGTATCATGCAACACCTCAAAAAAAATAATTTACTTTCAAAAAAATAACACGATTTTATGAAAAGCAAGAGCTGTACAAAAAACCTATTAAAATACCTAGATTTTTTTAACAGATGAGTTTCATAATGGAACACCGGTAGATTTATTGTACACTGACTTTAAAAAAGCTTTTGATTGTGTTTCACATAAAAATTTTTATTTTATGTGAAACACAATCAAATTATTATCCAAGTAATTAACTTTTGGTATTTCTGGTAAAATTCTTAAGTGGATAGTCTTTTTTTTAGCTAATAGAAAACAACGAGTGGTTGTAGGTAAAACTGTGACAAATTGGGTTGATGTACTTAGTGGTGTACCACGAGGGTCTGCTCTAGGTCCTCTCCTTTTTCTGGTATTTATAAATTATTTACCAGAAAATTTTATTAATGAATGTCGTTTATATACTGATCATAATAAGATAATTGCGCCTTTTTTTTCTCAAAATTATTCACAATTGTTTCAAAATGATATAAATAAACTTGAAGAATGGTCTAAAAAATGGAAATTAGTATTAAATTTTGAAAAGTATAAAATTATGTACTTTGGTTCAAATAATAATAAATATTTGTATTTTATAAACAATAATAATACATTAATGAAAATTAAAAAGTCAAAACAAGAAAAAGACATTGGTGTTTATATATCATGTGATTTGAAATGAGCCAAACAAGTTAAATATGATGCTAGTAAAGCAAATAGTATGCTCTCACTACTAAATAATACATTCAAGTACAAGGATAAAGATCTAATAAAAACACTGTATTGTACTATGTTAGACCAAATTTAGAGTTTTTGATTGAAGCTTGGAGTCCGTATTATACAAAAGATATTAATGAACTAGAAAAAGTTCAACGAAGAGCAACGAAAATGATACCGGAGCAAAGACTCTTGAGTACAAAAAAAAGATTGAAAATTTTGGGTTTCACTACTTTGGAGACTAGAAGATTAAGAAGCGACTTGATCAAGCAATTTAAAGTATTTAAAGGTATTGAAATACTATTAA